TAAAACAAAATGAAAACTGAACATATAAGCATAAATGATAGCCAAATCTATTACAAATAACTTTCGGTAATTCAAATAAAGCTAAAGTCAAATCAAATAAATAAATTGAAGTACTACAATAAAAATAAATTAAAATTAAATATAAATATTTATAAATATAGTACATCTAAAAAACAAAAATGATAAAAGTGCATGATAAACTTTAATTAAAACCAGAACTTAATTTAAAAATAAAAGCTCATTTAAAATATTAATAAATACTATAATGCTATAAATAATACTAAAGTAGCAGTATCAATAATGGGAGAAAAGTCAAACTGGGTCTGTCAAATGAATAAATGTAAGTATAAAACACTAAATAAAATGCACTGGAGAGCTTAAAAGCAGAAATGTGATGTTTATATTAATTATTTTATAAATAATGTGTCTTATTTGAGCTGTAAAGTTGTCTAAATCACTTCTAGTTATGCATAACAGCATAATTCCTGCGTTGAAATGTCTCCATCTAAACAGTACTTTGCCTATAGTCATATTAACATCACTTTCTGGTATCAATGTGAAAGCTAACGGTTAACCAGCTTTAAATGACCATGACGGGAGTTTAAAGACTAGATATAGAGAAAGCATTTACTGTATCCTCTGAATCTGAATTCAGTTTGAATTGAGGCAGCAAACAGACTTTGACCTTTGTTGTCACACTAAGGGAGGCTGTTTGACAGCAAATCAAACTCATCAGATCAGTCCGAGCCTCTCGGTACCTTCTCATCATAGACGATGCCGGGCCGGATCTCGGGAGCCTGGTAGCCGGGTGTACCCTCGACCCCCAGCGCTCCCTCGTGGAAGGACTGGCGCGAGATGCCGTAGTCGGACAGCTTGACGTTGACGGAGTCCTCCAGCTCCAGAGACCACACCAGGATGTTGTCGGACTTGAGGTCACAGAAGATGATGTTCTTCTTGTGCAGATACGCCAGGCCTGTGACGATCTGATAGGCCACTTTGAAGGTGAGCATGTGACCCAGCGGCACGTACTGAGAACCTGCGGAGCGTCAGGCAATGAGGACAGATGCAAACTTCAGTCACACAAACCCGTAATGATAACAGATTTCTTTATTTTTTTTGCAAACTATTAAGGCTTTGTTCACTAGTCTGATGCAATTAAAAGTCCAAATTTTCATGCCAAAAAACTGCTATTCTCTGAAAAAGTTATAAGTGATGCAGATCTAAAGAATAGCAGATTATTAAATGATTTGCTGAATTAAAAAAAGTTATTAAATCTAAATTATTATAGAATTTTGCACTGCTTAAACATTCACAAATGTTCAGAAGTGGCATTTATTTTACAATTAAATGTTATTAATATTATGAGTACCATTACATTTTATAGATTTTTATTTTTATTATTTTTTTATTTGCTTTATTATTTAAAAATTTATTTATTATATTTACATTTTTTATTTATTTGTTGTCAAAAGGAAAATATGCATTGTATTAAATTTTACATAGTTTATATAGTTTTTTTTAAACTTCTTTATTAGCTAAATGAAATGAATACATGTAAAAATTAATAAAATGTAAATTTATACATATATATAATTTTTTTTTAATTATATATATATATATATATATAAAAATCTAAATGATTATAGAATTTTGCACTGCTTAAACATTCACAAATGTTCAGAAGTGGCATTTATTTTACAATTAAATGTTATTAATATTATGAGAACTATTAAATTTTATAGATTTTTATTATTTTTTATTTGCTAAATGAACACATGAACAAATTAATTTATTTTTAAATTTATTTATTATTTTTACATTTTTTATTTATTTGTTGTCAAAAGGAAAATATGCATTGTATTAAATTTTACATAGTTTATATAGTTTTTTTTTTACTTCTTTATTAGCTAAATGAAATGAATACATGTAAAAATTAATAAAATGTAAATTTATACAAATTCCCGTGCTGACGGTCATGCGTCACACCTTTGGCTCGCTCCTCCAGGATGGTGTTGAGGCTGCCCAGCGGCGCCAGCTGCAGGGAGAAGCAGAGCGGGTGGATGCTGATGCCCACCAGAGCCACAATACACGGGTGCTGCAGGGAGTGGAGCATGCTGGCCTCCTGACGAAACTCCGAGAAGCTGCGGGCCGCGTCCATCGACTGCAGGTGCTTCATCATGGTGTCTGTGAAGAGAGCAGTTCAACACGCTGTTATTGAGCTGCAGGCCTGAAGAGAGCAGCTCCGACTCTCACCTCAGGTCATGGAATAATTATCCATAATGAGAGCAAACACCATCACATTTCATACACTCACATCAGCATGCGAATCCACCACAGTCTCTGTATTGGAAAATTACTGTTTCTCTGTGACAACGCATCACATGATGGCATCAGATGTTAATTCCACCCTACATTGATTCCATGGAACCACATACAGTAAATGTACTATGGTATTTACATAACTGTTTTGAATGACAAAACAAGTGATAGAACTTATTTTTACATGAATTCATTGAGCAAACAAACAAACAAACTATCATAACATAACATATAAATTTTATTATATAATTTATGAATACATGTAAAAAAAGAAATTATATATATATATATATATATATATATATATATATATATTGTATATATATATATACATTTTTATTTGCTAAAAGAATACATGTAAAAAAAAAAGAAAAGTAAATTACATTTTATTACATTTATTTATTTATTTGTTGCAAAAGTGAACATGTAGTTCATTACATTTTTTATTTTTGTTTAATGAAATATGTGAATATATACAGTATTTCATGAAATTCTATATATATATTGTGGCGAGTATCCCGAGTCCAGATTAGCGTCGCCCTGGAAACGCCGCTGCCACACTGATCACCGAAGCACAACACCTGTGCGTGATGAGTGGCGCACCTGGAGCTCGTTCCCGCTGGCCTTAAAAGCCAGGAGAAGAGACACCAGCGGGAAGGCACCCCGGAGCTCCAGGCGACATTAATGCTTGTTTCTCCTTGTTCACAGACTCCGAAGGCACCCATCAGTGTGTGGGAAATAAATCACCCTCCGGGGCTCTTTCGATCAGTACCGAGTCTGTGTTCTCATTCACCCCGCGACAATATATATATATATTATTACTTTATTTGCTAAATGAGTACATGTGAAACATGAATAAGTAAATGTATTTTTATACATGTTTATATTTATTTATTTGTTGCCATCTAGGAACGTTTGTATTTCATGAAACACATATTTCAGTATATTTATTTATTTGCTAAATGAATAACTGTAAAAAAAAAAAAAAAAAAAAAATTTTAAAT